GCTCCTCGGGGCTGGTGGGGACCACGCGCAGCACCTGGTGCCTGTGGGGTCGGGGGGGGGTTGGGGGTGCAGGACAAGCTCCAGCCCCCTTGGCCCATCCTAATTCCCACCCAATCCATCCCCCCATCCTGGTGAACTGCTCTGAGCCCCCTCAGGGCTGACCCAGCCCCTCCTGCCCCAGCCAGCAGTGTCCCCATCCCGTGTCCCCCGTACCCAACAAAGGTCTCAGTGCAGGTGGCCACGGCCACCAGGGCGGCCAAGAGCACAGGGATCCTCATGGTCAGCGGGGACGGCTGCTCTCGTGTCCCAAAGCCGCCCCGCAGCTCCTTAAATCCCTTTGGGACGGCGCCCGCAGCTGCCCCTTTTCCCAGGGCCGTGGGAAGGCCCTGCCTGGGACCAGCCAAGGTCGGGCCCTGCTGTCCCCCATCCACGGCATTCCCAACCTGGAAAAACCTGTTCCAGGAACCTGCCAGGGCCACGGGTGAGTCCCCTGCGAGGTGGGACAGGGAGGTGCCAAAATCCCACCGCCCCCAGCGGAGAGGGAAAGGATAAATTTGGGTTGGGAAAGCGGGAGATGCCCGTTTTCGCATGGAGGGACCCATGGGCTGGATCCCTAAACCAGGGCTGTGGTGGTGGGGAATCAGGATTAAAGCTTGGCCTGGGAATCTGGCTTAAAGAATCTGGTTTAAAGTCTGGCCTGGGAATCTGGTTTAAGCAATCTGGTTTAAAGCTTGGCCTAGGAATCTCATTTAAAAAATCTGGTTAAAGCTTGACCTGGGAATCTTGTTTAAAGAATCTGGTTTAAAGAATCTGGCCTGGGAATTTGGTTTAAACAATGTGGCTTAAAACTTGGCCTGGGAATCTGGTTTAAAGAATCTGTTTTAAAGCTTGTCCTGGGAATCTAGTTTAAAGTCTGGTCTGGGAATCTGTTTTAAAGTCTGGCCTGGGAATCTGGTTTAAAGAATCTGGTTTAAAGAATCTGGCCTGGGAATCTGGTTTAAACAATCTGGCTTAAAGCTTGCCCTGGGAATCCAGTTTAAAGAATCTGACCTGGGAATCTGTTTTAAAGCTTGGCCTGGGAATGTGGTTTAAATAAACTGTTTTAAATCTCATCCTGGGAATCTGGCTTAAAGTCTGGCCTGGGAATCC